ATAAGTATCTTGGGGGGAAAAGGAGGATACCATTAACTTTTTCCTGTAGTTGTATTTGGAAAGTGATTTTTAAATATTTTAAAAATATTTAAACATTTAAGATTTTGAATGATACCAAACTTCCCTTTCAAATTAGAAAAAAAAATCTAATGGTTAGAAAATATGCCTTAAAAATTGTTTTTTAATGAGAAGCTGTCTCATTGCTTTCATCTACAAAATCACTTGAAATTGGCAGTGACTTTTTCTTTCTTTCTTTTTAAGTAACTACGCGTTAAAGGGTTCAGTCACCTCGAGGTTTTCGACCGCAGGATGCTCCAAAGTCAAGATCCTCCGTAGACAGGAAATGCCTTTGCCAGCTCCAAGGTCTCCTCCCAGCAGCCCTCTCCATTGTCTGCATAGATTTATGCACATCCGACTGAAGAGGTTTACCGCCTGCTGCAGAGAGAATCAAAAAGCCACCTTAAAAGCTGGGAGTCAGTGAGGGCTTTCTAGTTTTACTAGTTAACATTGGTGCCCACTATGTGCCAGGTATGCCGCTTCCTCTCACATATGCCCACCTCTCTAGGAACTGGGGCTGAGAATTCACGTTTCCCAAGGTCCCCAACCAGCAAGGAGGCAGGTGTAGGAGGCTGGTCAGCTATACTTCCAGCCCTGCTCTTATCCACAATGATATTCCTGCCATGGGGTCTCCACAGTCAGATCTGAAGGGGTGGCTGGTATTCTGAAGGCCTTGGATCTATTTTGGTGGGTGGTAGGAATCTCCAAAGTGCTTGTTATATGGATTCAACACCACCACCAAAAAATGTATCAAGGGACTGAAATTCGATTAGACAAGTACAGAGTCCAGCTGGAATTTCATGAAACTCAAAATGAGGAAAAGGAAATGTGGGTACAACATCTGATTATTTTTACTACAAGTTACCAAACTCCTAACCATTTAGAAGTATCCTGGGTAACTGTTTGTTTCTCCACCTTCTATCTCATATTAGGAGTCACAAAAGTCTTACCTCCAATCACAGATTTAAAGGATCACTGATATTAGATTTTAAAGAAAAATCAAAAGAGTGAGCTTTTGAATTCATGTCATCTTCCACAAGGCAGTATAACTGGAATGGGAATTTTGGTAAGGACAGTCTGTCCCCAACAAAATGCACTTCCCCCAAGTCCAAATATATTTTCTTGAATCTCTGCCCTGCCTCCAACTAAAATGAATATTCACAGCAATGAAACCACCACACACAAAAAAAAAAAAGTTGTCAGAAATGTTGAAAGAGAATAGGTACTTTCACTATCAGAGATGGTTTCCTCTTTTCCCACAAGATGTTTTATCAGCTTTCACCCTGAGAAAACCATAAAAAGTAAGAAAAAGTAACCTTATGCAATAGTTTTCTAAATAAAATACTACACAGCAGGCTAGTCATCCCTAAAAGTGATGTTGTTTAAAGAGTCAAAGTACATCATCCAACAAAATCAATATCCTATTAAGTTAGAAAGGGTTCTGAATATCAAAGACCAACGAACTGAATAACTTAAAGTATAAGTACATGACCCAGGGGATTAATCACACACTGTCATGGTGAAATTAGGGCAATTCTTCCAATCATTAACGTTTTGCTTACAAAAATGTGCTTTTCTGTTTGTCTTTCTGCTAAATGATAACCGTTTTCAAGTTGAATCTCCTGATAAAAAGAGTTAAAAACAAGACAGGAGTTGTGCTGTAAAGGTCATACATGCTGCTTCAACATGAAATAGCCAAAAGACAAACAAATGAAAAATGCCTGGATTGTAGGAAGAATTTGTAAATATTCATTGGCAATCTTCAATGGGGCATTTTGAAAACAGCTAATGCCAACCTGTGTCCTGAGAATACTGTACTTCTCCCGGTGAACATGTTCTTGATTCTTAAGAATATGTCTAGATTCAGAAGTGCCTGGGTGGCTCAGTCAGTTAAGCGTCTGACTTCAATTCAGGTCATGATCTCAGTTTGTGGGTTTGAGCCCCATATCAGGCTCTCTGCTGGTAGCACTGAGCCTGCTTAGGATTCTCTCTCTCTGCCCCTCCCCAGCTTGTGCTCTCTTTCTCTCTCTCTCAAAAATAAATAAGCATTTTTTTTTAAAAAAAAGAATATGTTTAGATTCAGAACATAAGCAACTTGAAGAGGGTTGGAAATAGCTTTAAACTGGAAAACATTCTGGTTTCAAGAACTGTCTAGTTTAAAACAAGAGTTCACCCTTCAACTTTTCTAGTGCCAGTCAATACATAAGTCTGTATTTCTCTGCTTGATCATCATGATACAGTTATTCCCAAGAATAAACATTAACCAGAGATTATCTCCAGAGGCGAAACACACACAAACTGATTTCAGGATTGCTTTAATTCAATATAAGGCCCACAAGCCTCCCATTTTCCAAAACTCTGATACTGACAGTCCCTTTTTCAAATGAGATTGATTATGACCCTTGAAACCTATATGTAACCTGTCATGCAGGGTCTGGGAGTTTGGAGCCTGCAGATGATGGGAAGGGAGACTTTCCAACTGGAGATCTACTTTGGACCCCAACAATGAGAAAACACAGAGAACAAGGGGAACAATAAAGATAAAGAGCTTGAAGTGACTTGGGAATTGGAGGGGCTGGAAAGGATCACATGGATCAACTGAACCATCCTCATTCCACAGATGAGAGAACAGAGGCCAAGAATTAAAATTCCAACCCAAATTATTAAACTTCCAGGCCTATTCACACCTCTCTGCTTAAGAACCTGGTAGTAATTTTCTCAGAAATGTAAATTCACAGGCAATTCCAGGAGCCTTCCTGAAATCTAAGGAGGTAGAATGTGACAATTTGCTAAAAGCCATAACCTTTTCACTCTGTCTTCACCTGACGCTCACGTCTGGGGAATCATAGCCCTGGTTGGCCATGCCAGGGGCGTAGTCATTCCTTAAGGTGTCCTCAGTCATGACGCAACCAACTCCACAAACAAGGAGAGGCCTGTGTGAAGGCACAGGCTAGAAGAGGTTTCTGGGCCTCTCCCTCAACAGGCCTGGAATTTTCCTGGAATGTCAGGGACCTGACAGCTCAGGTAGGCAAGCAGCTGGATGCAATCCCGGGGCCAGTCACAAACCGCAGGCCACCCCTCCTCTCAGCCCCACATCAGGGTACTTCCGTTTCCCCCATCTCACAGTACCCATTTCTCAGCCCTGCGACCTCCCCTCAGCCATCAGACTCTTGCTCCCACCGGCCCAGACGGCCCCTTCTTTTTCCCTTCCTTCCAGTCGTCCCCACCTCCTGCTCTCACAATGGCAGGGGTTACTGGGAGAAGGGAAGCAGATGAGAAAGGAGTGGCGGAGAATGTGGACCCCACCCGCTTCTACACTTTAGAAAAGTGGTCTTTTTTTTTTTTTAATGTTTTTTTTTTATTTATTTCTAGGGGGGAGAGAGAGAGAGAGAGAGAGAGAGAGAGAGACAGCGTGAGCAGGGTAGGGTCAAAGAGAGGGAGACACAGACTCTGCAACAGGCTCCAGGCTCTGAGCTGGCAGTCAGCACAGAGCCCGACGCGGGGCTCGAACCCACGAACCGTGAGATCATGACCTAAGCGAAAGTTAGACGCTTAACCGACGAAGCCACCCAGGCGCCCCGAAAAGTGGTTCTTAAAGCTGAGTACTCGGGCCAGCAGCTTTGACACCACCTGAGCACTGGTTGAAGTGCAAATCCCGGTCCCACGGCAGACATGCCCAATTAGAAACTTTGTCGACGGGACCGCAGGGAGTTTCAAGAAGCTCTGCAGGTGCTTCTTACGCTCGCTGAAGCTTGAGGCCCGAGGTCTCGCGCACACCGCCGCCCTGCTCTTCCCCGGCAGGCTCCCCTCTCCGCCCTCCGCGGACCCCCCTACCCGGGCTCGGCCGCCTAGGGATGACGCAGTGTTGACTCACGCCGGTCAAGGACGCCGGCCCCGGCCAGCCTGGGGGCCGAGGCGAATCGATGGGGTTCGGCGGCCCGGCGTTCCGCGGCGCGGCCGACTACGGCCCGGGCTCTCGCAGCCACCCTGCGCGCCGGGGTCTCCCACCTGCCGCACTCAGGGGTCCGCGGGCGGAAACCTCCCCTTGCGTCGACGCGCGCACACCAAGCCCCTCCCCCGCCCCCTCCTCCTGGGGAAAGGCCCCAATCTATTTCCAGGGGCCCACCTACCCGCCGCGCCCAGCCCCGCGCGGCGCAGGAAGGAAGGTGTGCGTTCGTTTCCCTGGAAGTACGAGAGGTCCGACTAGATCGGTCGTCCCACACCGATGGGTTTATTTTATACACAAGTTACTCATTTAAAAAAAAAAAAAAAACCACCATCACCGTTTTGGCCTTTTTTTTTTTACAGCGAAAAAATTATATATACACACATTATAAACACCGATATAAAACACAATATCTACAGTCTACTTACAGTTAATTAACCTGCTACTTCTAGTTCGTCTGTGATTTTTAGTCACCGACGAGTCAGTTTCTCTGCTTGATTTGTACTGTACTACTCCCTTAACACCTTGGTCATATAGGTACTAAGTGATAGTGCAAAACAAGCATTTAAGATTTTTATCAACTATCTCTCTCTGAAAAAAAGAACATACGCATCCTCGAGAAAGGAGCTCTGAGATCACTTTGGATTTAAGGCAGCAGTATAAGAATGTAATATAAAAGAAAAGAACGTTTCCTTTAAAAATATTGAGGCTGCCTGAAATGTGGGCCCCTTTTCCAAAGGCATACCTCTGCATCTGGGGTGCCCTTCTGCTTTTCCATTAAGTAGGATGTAGATACAGATTGTAGAAACATCATTCAAGAAGATCTTATTAAAATCTTTAAAGTTATAACTTAAAAATTTAACAAAAAATTCAAAAATTACTTTTTATAAATAGAAAAAACAATTTACTTTTTTAAAAAGAGGGTGAATTTAAGCAGTGAAGAGTTGTCCCTTCATCATACAACCTAAAATCAGTACATAAACCACGGAAGTCAAAATTAAGGTTTCAATGTAAGTTTTGCTGTTTAGCCAGTGCACCAAATATTTCAGGGTTCCAGAATACCAGAAAATTGATTCCCTTTCTCAGAGTTTTCCAGTATCATCTATGGAGATTTTCTGTAGCAAACGTTATTCCCAAGTCCAGTTTTCTGAACATGCCAATGTCAGTGGTCATCATCCAGCATTAAAATAGCCTTTATCGCCCTCAATGTCCACTTCCTGGTCAGAATCCTCTGAAATCTCTGACTCAAGGTCTTCCTGGGAGGCAGGGGAGGGCGAACCTTGAGAGCTTTCCAGAGCACCTTTATTCTGCTCACTGGTCAAGTCTTGCCTCTGGTCACAGGGATTGTCCAAACTTTCCAGTTCTTCTTTTTTATTGCTTTGAGGGTTCTCCTGAATGAAAGGAATGAAAATGAAATTGGTACGCTCGTGAAATACGGAGGCATGAGAGACATAAATCAGAATGTGTTTTCATTCTTTATCGTCTTTAAAATGTTTAGTCTATCTATTGCTTTCAGCTATAATCTTTTTATTAAGTAAATACATATTTGTGCTTCTTTCTCACTTTAACCAACTGAGCCCCCAGGCGCCCCCTCTTTCTCACTTTAGAAGAAAAGTGCCTGTCCTATAAGAGAAAGATTATGCTCTTGTGAGAAAAGAACAACCAGTCACAAATATAACTAAATGGATTGTGTCAAATGAACACTTAGCTCCCGCCCAGATCCATGGTCTCAAGATTCTATAATGTTTAGGGGAGGGTGCCCGAGTGGCTCAGTCAGTTGAGCGTCCGACTCAGGCTCAGGTCATGATCTCACGGTTCCTGGGTTCAAGCCCCACGGGGGGCTCTGTGCTGACAGCTCAGAGCCTGGAGCCTGTTTCAGATTCTGTGTCTCCCTCTCTCTCTGACCCTCCCCTGCTCATGCTGTCTGTCTTTCTCTCAGAAATAAGAATAAAACATTAAATAAACAAATAAAAATTTAAAAATTTAAAGTTTAGGGGAAAGGGGAAATCAGATTACTACAGATACACACTATCTTCACTCTTCAAGTATTTTTAAACCTTGCCAATTAACAGGGTCTCTCAGACATTTAAAAAATATAAATGCTATGTAGTGAATTAAGGAAAAAGTTTCAAAATCATTAGATTGAATCCTTTTTCCTCCATTTCCCAGAGTAAGTTTATAAAGTTATAAATACTAGTAGCAAGTTACAAAATCACGACAAAGGTAAAAATGCAAAACTGAAAGAATGTTGCCAACTGCAAAGGGAGACAATTCACTGCAATTTACTCAAAACCTGGGAAATTTCTGGAAAATATATTCCCACATATTACAAAGGAACAACTATTTTAAAAATTCCTGGTAAACTGCAGTCACACCTTTGACCAAGAACCCAATTAAGTGAGTTAATTTTTTAATCCTGTTTGTCTAAAATAGACATAAACACTACAAAGAAATATTATGATATAATTCTAAGGGTTTTTTTTTTATTAAAGCAAGACTATAGAATAATATATTTATTCACCAGGCTTGCAACTAAGTAACAAATAGATGCACAGGGTCAGAGACTGAGAGGGAATCTGCACATTTTTAAATCATGTTAGAATAATGAAAATTATGGGATATTTATTTTCTATCTCAAAGTGTTCTTTGTGACACCGCCTTATATTTAATGAAAAACTTATGATTGCTAAATTTAAAAATGCACACTGCTTTCTATTTCCCCACTTGTATTACTGTTTCAAAAATATTTTATTTATTCTAAACTGTATGTACACTGGCAAATGAACAATAGGACAATTGTCAGATAACTATGGAGAAGACCTCCAGATTACAACATCAAAAACAAATCTTTAGCTTAAAGTCAATAGAGGTTTTTCAAAAACTGAATTAGCCTTTACTTTTTATCGCATATTGCGTAACAAGGTCATTAGAAAAAAGACTGTTAGTAAGTTTCAGCTACTTTCCAAACAGGCTTGTATATTCTCTTACATGTCTTATATTCATTTTAAGAGCTGGCATTAGGTAGGAAATAATTTTAAACTCTTTGATATTTAATTCTTCTAAAAAACAGTGCAAACAAGACCGAAAGGTGTTTATTTCCTTATATTTACCCTTGAGCTCTGCCTGGTTTTATTATGGCTGTGTAAATAAAAGAAACAATTTTCCCCCAAAGATAACTGCTTAAGTCATTTACTGTCAATTACTTTATCTTTCCTGCGTTAATTAGATAAACAACATATGGGGTTTATAAAACAATTAGCCCGGAGTTTTACTAGCCAGTGTGTGAAAACCCAAGCATAATTGATATAGGAACTGCATTAGGTGCTTTTAGCATTACTGCCACCTGAGCAACTCATCCTGAATTTCAGCAAGACTATTTGCCTTTTTAATCAAGGTGAAGAGGTTAAATAGTCTCTCAAATGACTTTTGCATACAACCCATAACAGGCCTCGCATTGAGATAACATGATAAAAATATTTATTTCCATAGAAACACAGCCATGTCGATACCTGTTTTAGTCTTCTCCATTTAGCGCGTCGATTCTGGAACCAGGTTTTGACCTACAGGAAAGACAGAAAGTAAACTTGCCACGAACCCAAGGCGCCTGGTGGGCAATGGAGAAGCTGATCCGGGGCTGTGGAGCAGGCCAGCGCTCCGGCCGTTCGACAGCGCGAAGGACTCGCCAGAGCGCAAGGAGGCTCCGAGTCTGTCTTCCGCCCCGCGACTCCCGCCCTAGGAATCTGCCCCGAGCCCGCAGGCGCGCTCACCTGTCTCTCGCTGAGCTGCAGCATCTTGGCCAGACGCTTCCTCTCCGGCGGAGAGAGATATTTCTGGGTCTCAAACTTCTTCTCCAACTCGATGGTCTGGTCGTTGGAGAACCTCACCTGGCCGCCTTTGCGTTTATGCAGAGGCCTCTGCAAGAAAGGGCTCCAGAGCAGAGGTTTGCCTGGGGGCAGCGAGAGCTGCGGTTAGTGACAGTCCTGGAGTGGCCAGGCCCTGGGGGTGACGAAGGGGAGTAGGGGACGCGGGACGACACTCAACCAGACCTGGTCACATACGCCCACCCACACAAGGACCCAATACGTGCCCACCATGACACATACATACCCAGAGACAGAAACACCCAAAGTCACACACACTGAATATGCACGCAGACGACCCTTGTACACTCAGACAGAAACAGCCATCACACCCATGGCTGGATTCAAGCACAAATCTTCTCATCCCCAAAAGAACAAAAATTGAGCTTAAAATACCACGACACCCTTGAACGAGTCACTCTCGAATTTAGACACAACTTTTTGCACTTCTAGGCCCTCTCCCTTGGCGAGCCGCACTTTCCAAACACCCAGAGTCTGTATGTGTTGGGAAGGAACCGGGTCGTTACACTACCCAAGGCGTTCCGGCCCGGGGCCCCCGGCGGGAGCCTGCCCGGGCGAGCCCTCGGGCCCGGGCGCACACTTTAGGCAGCTCCTGGAGCTTCCAATCTTAGCTCCAGGGCGCAGCGGCCTCCTCTGATTTCACACCCGGCGGCGGGGGCGGCCAGTTAAAGCTACCCCGTGGGCTATGGCAACATTTCCGTCAATGTGTTTCCTGTTGGTCTATCTCGAAAAAACCCTTTGCTTCCTCCTGCGCGGTCCCAGCAGTAACCCAAGGAAACCCAGGGCGCGCTCAGTGAAAACGTTCACCCCAGGCCCTGCCGGGCTGAGGGTCCCGCTCTGGCCCCAGCGGGCGAAGACAGTCACGCCGGGGTCACCTCCCACCCCAAACTCTCGAGGCTGGAATCAAAAATACAATGAAAGATTTTTTTAAAATAAAGAGCTAAAATAGAATCCCCTCCAAATCTAACTTTGAGAAAAGGAGGGTGGAGGGCTGAGCTCGAGGTCGCTTCATAAACATGTGGTCATTAAAATATTAATGAAAATGCTAGTCTGTCTCTAGGTTCCCTGTAGAAGCTGCCACTAGCTGAGAGTAAATTTAAAACCCTGGTGGCCCAAGACAAGGAGCCCCCTTTCTTTATTTCCTCCGGGGCTTCAGATGCCAGAGATGCCAAGAGCCACCCGGAGCGCGGATCATCGGTGGCTTATTTCTTAGGCCGCGCACTGAGGGGGACAAGCCCCGAAAAATACCACATGACCTAGGTGTCTTCACGGCCTTTCTTACTCCAAAGACCTGTCAGTCAAGTCAGTCCGTCCGTCCGTGGGTCTGCAGGCCTGCCCCCAATCACTTTGAAAGCTGGCATTGTTGACTGTTTTTTTTTTTCCAGATTTTGCTTACGTCAGGTTTCAGACTAGTGCAAAACAGCCTCGGGGAAAAAAAAAAAAAAAGGAAGCAACTGGTTATTTTAGCTGCCATAAAGTCACATCCCACACAGAGGAAATGAACAATATCAGAAAAACGGATCCCGGCTATCAGAAGTCGAGTGTTTCCTGAATTTGTCTGTATTGAGGATGTCGATAAAATAATCAGCAGCGTGCACTACTCCGGGGGAAGGGTCTGCTTCATGCAGCCAGGAAAACACTTAACAGCTTCTGAAACCAGATTTACTCCTATCGAGAACTCAAGATTTCCTGTATGAACGGAAAGGGTCAGGCTCTTTCACTGCACAAGCTTGTTGAACCAGGTCCAGCCTCGTAACCACCCGGGCCAGGCGGCTATCCCTGCCCCATAGGGCCGGCCCGGGGTGCCTTGGCACTCCCTTCCCGGTCCCTCCAGTTAAGGGGGCCCCACCCGAGCGACACACGCGCCCCAGGACCGCCTTCGGCCACAAGCCCCCGTGGCAGCCAGTGGTTTCGCCCGGGCCCGCGCGCCCCGACGCCTGCAAGGTGCAGGAAAACCAATCTGAGTCATGGTGCGGTCAGCCCCGGGCGCGCGCCACTGGGGCCCGCGCCTCCTGTCCCCGAGCGCGCCCGAGAGCCGCTTTTCGATCACTTTTGCCACAACTTTCTATTGCCTCCCACACCGCCCCCGCCGCCTCCTGGACGCTGCCACCTGCCGGGTGGCGCCTTCCTCGCCGCCGCCGCGGCTCGGCCCCGCCATGACCCCGGCCGCCTTACCCAGGGGGTCGTGGCGGAACAGGGCGTGCGTGTAGTCGTTCACCGTCCGCGGGAAGGGGTACAGAGGGCCCCCGAAGCCGCCAGGTCCGTAGGCGGCGGCCAGCGCGGCGGCGGAGTGGTGCGAGAAGGCGGGGTGGATCGGCGTGGGCTCGTACACCGGGGTCCGGTAGGAGGACACGAGGCTGGTGAAGGAGGAGTTGGGGGACGGCAGCGTGGGGGCGGGGGTGGGCGCGGCGGGCCCGCGGCCCAGGATGTCCTCGATGTAGAACGGCGTCGGGTGCGCCGGCTGCAGCAGCGGCGTGGGCGCGTACAGCGGCACCCCCACGGCACCCGCCGCCGCCGGCCCTGGGTGTGGGTACTGCATAGCTCCGCTGCGCTCCGGCCCCTCGAAGAGCTGGCGGCCCGCGCCGCGGCGCTACATTTATCCGCGCTCCGCGCTCCCGGCGATAGGCTCTGCCGGCCACGGGGTGGGGCCGCGCTCTCTGGCCCCTTCCTGCCGCCCGGCCCTGCGGCCAATGGCGCGGAGCCCCGGGAGCCGCCTCCCGCCCCCACCCTTGGCCCGCCCCCGCCGGCCGAGCTCCCCGCCCCTCGAGACGCGCCCGCTCGCAGCGTCTAAGGACCCTGCGCCCCGGTGCCCGGCCGCCGCCGTCGCTGGGGGCTCCAGGCACCCTCGCCCGGGAAGCCCTCGAAGGAAACCCAGGGCCATGTCCGTCCTGGGGAGACACGAGGAAAGTAGCGCTTGGAACACACGGACTCAAGTGGTCCCAGCTCCTGCCTGGAAGAAACTCTGCCGAAACTCGGGGTCCAGGCCCGGGCCCAGGGTGGCAGGGGCCGGTGCCAGGCGCGGGGCAGCTGGACTCGATCCTGGCGGGCGTAGAGGCCCCTGGCAGAGCCGCGCCTTCGCAGGCCTGAGGGTACTCCCCCGTCGGCGCGCTCGCTGGAGTAACGGTGGCACTGGCTGTTGCCCAGGGCGTCTCCCGAGCTCGTAGCGGGAGAGTGCCTTGGGTTCCTGGGGCAGCTCCAAGGACAGAATCCAGCCCTTAGCTGCGTCCCAGTTGGGGTAAGGACGACTAGACTTCAGGGGCTCCGGGCTCGTGGCGGCTCCAGCCCCTTTCATTTGTGGGCCCCCGCACTCAGCCACTTCCGTGAGGACGCTGGCAGAAGCCGCTTCGGGGAGGAATCGAGGGGAAGGCCTGGGTCGTACGGCGCCAGGTAGAATGTGTGCAATCTTCTCTGACAGAATGGGGTTGCTCTATGTCCCCCCATCCCCGGGTCCTGGGGTCGCAGCTGCGCGCAGCACCGCTTTGCAGTTTTGCACGTGTTTTCTATTGAAGCCGTGGCTCTACCCCTTGTGGCCTCGGCTCTGTGCAGCTCCACTCGCCTGCGGGGCACGGGGGCATTTTCTTGATTGACGCCCTCCTGCGGTCGTCACGCCTCGCGGTGAGCAGTTTCTGCTAAGGTCCTCCATTAGTCGTGGAGATGCAGATTGCCCAGCTTTTTCTGTTGAGATTTTTTATTTACATCTTGGAATGTATTTTTCCGACTAAAGCGGAGTGGCAGACGAAACGCGGTTGAGCCGAGTTCGAGTTGCACTGCGCACATTTCTGTTGAGCAGCTACTGTGTGCCAGCAGTGAACAAGACAGATGTAGTTTCTGTCCTTACGGAGGCAGGAAGCGAACTTTAATGCAGTGGCTTATGTGTGTGCTAGGAAGGAGAAGTATATAGTAATCTGAAACCTTATAACCGGGGGACATCACCTAGTTGGGGGAGAGGGTGTGTTAAGGAAAGGAAACTATTCTCCAAGGAAGTGATGTTTGTAAAATGAGTAGTTGTCAAAGAACTGGGGAGGGACGGATATTCCAAGTTGAAGGAGTAGCATGTGAGTGTTGTCAATGCAACTTTGGTCAAGTCCTCCTCCATGAGCTTTTCTGAAACATTTGGAACTTAGCCTAAAGCCTCCTAATCTTTTGGGGCTGGAGTCAGAGGTAACTTTGAGAATCTGAAGACAGACCAGAGCTGCAAGCACAGACAAACACAGTGAGCATAACGTGCTATCATTTGAGTTAAAACATTAGGAGAGAGTAAGGATATTTATCTGTGCCTTTGCTCTGTTATGTAAACTATCTCTGGGAGCATACACAAAAAACTAGTAACATCAGCTGTCTAGGAAGAGAGAGGTGGATTTGAAGGAAGAAAACAAACATGCTGTATACTTTGAGTATTGGGGGAATTGAGCCACGTGGATGTGACCTATTCATAGTATACGTAGGTCCTTGAAGAAATGGCTGATTCTAGGTCTGGGGCAGGAAAAGTACAAGGTGAGCTCAAGGCATCTTGTGCTAGAAACAACAGAAAGGAGACAGACGGCCTTAATGAGTTTCCCATTGGCCAAATTTGGGGTGGTTTAAGCATCAAAAGCACATTTTGGATTATAACACATTGAATATAACTGTTCAAAGTATCACTCTCTGTAGTGATAGAGAGAGAGGGATGATGGATGGTAAAGCTGAAAGGATGCCAGCTAACACATGGTTAAAAAGCTTGTTAAATTAAACATGTAATCATTCATTCAAGAAAGAATCATCTTTAGGGACGCATAGGTGGCTCAGCGGGTTAAGTGTCTCACTGTGGATTTCAGCTCAGGTCACCATCTCACGGTTACTGGGATCAAGCCCAGCTTGAGCTTTGAGAGACTGCTTGAGTCTCTCTCTCTCTCTCTCTCTCTCTCTCTCTCTCTCTCTCTCTCTCCCCCCCCCTCTCTCTTTCTTTCTCTCTCTCCCCCCCCTTCTCTGTCCTTCCCCCACTCATGTGCGCACTTGCTCGCTCTCTTTCAAAATGAATAAATCTTAAGAAAAGGAAGTATCATCTTTGGACGAGAGCCATGGAGGGAAACATCATGGAGGATAAGGATTTTCACATCTCAGAGTATCACACCAATTGATTAGATTCTAGATTAAAGGGGGAAAAAAGAGGCACCTGGGCGGCTCAGTTGGTTATGCCTCCGACTTCGGCTGAGGTCATGATCTCACATTTTGTGGGTTCAAGCCCCATGTCGATCTCTGTGCTGACAGCTAGCTCAGAGCCTGTATTCTGTTTCAGATTCTGTGTCTCCCTCTCTCTCTGACCCTCCCCTGTTCATGCTGTGTCTCTCTCCCTCTCAGAAATAAATAAAAAACATTTTTTAAAAAAAATTTAAAGGGGGAAAAAAGCTATAAAAGACATTTTGGAAGCAGTAGGGAAAAACTAAAAATGAATTGTACATTAGCTGATACTAGTAAATTAATGTTCATTGTGTTATGTGTGATATTGGTATTATCAGTAAAATGTCCTTATTCTTGGAAGGGGCAGGCTAAAGTATTTAGGAGTGAAGGGTCATGACATCTGCAACTTTCAGGTAGTTCAGTACACACAAAACATACACACACATGCACACACGTTTAGATAAACAAGGCAATAAAGCAAATTAGAAAATTCTTCATTGGTGAATTTAGGTGAAGGTTATACCAATGTCCATTGTACTAGGACAGCTTCTCGATAGATTTGAAAGTTTCCAATATAAAAACTTTTTAAAGTATGATTTCAGATGTTAAAAAAATGAAAGCAGTCTTTTTTTTTTTCTTAGTTTATTGTCAAGTTGGTTTCCGCAGTCTTTTTTTTTTTTTTAAGGTAAAAACTATTTAAATTGTTCGTTAAGTCTGTAAACAAGTTCTGGTAGTGCATTGCCCCCGGAAAGCATCCATGGAGGGCTATTTGAGAATCAGTGATCCCTCTGTGGTCCGGTCTGATGTGGTGCTCATGCCACCAGTCATTATTCTCCTCACATGGCCTGATGGAGCATTCAGACAGGTATGCTCCCCTATGTACCAAGGACAGAGACAGGATTTGGGGACAAAGAAAGGAAGATTATTAGCTGAAGCTCAAAGGTGCCTTCAGTAGTTATGTTTGGGTCTTCAAAGATTGGGACCTCAATGAACTAGGCAGATAACTGTGATTATTGTCTACTCACATTATTGTCTTTGTTTTTCTTCTTTGCCTGCCCCTCCCACCCAGAAGGCAATTGAGATGATTACTCCAATTCATGTAATGCCTTTACAGTAAATCACTAGCCAGCAGTCATTCTCCGTCTTCAGAAATTGTGTGGGTTTATAGTTTATTCTGTGCGTGACTCAGCCACCAGCCAAAAAGATGTAAATCTACAAACCTTCCAAAAAATAAATATTAAAATGCTAGGAAAATAATCACTGCTATAGGAAAAGGAAGCATCGCTTTCTTTGATGTAGCCATAGACCCTGTGGGGTAGATGGAGATCTTAAAAGACATTGATATAACATTCCAAGTCCACCACATAATGCTCACCAGCAAATTGAAGCACTTAATTCTGTTAAGCTATATAACACTACCTCTTCTAAATCCAGTCGTCAGATCCATGTTCATTTTGCTATAGTTAAAAAAAAAATTACAACCACATTTGTGACTGTCACATTTATTGAACTACATAATTTTTAATATCACTTGTGTAGGTTTTATAGTTTGTTTTATTGTTTTAAAAGTCATTTGGGGCTCTAAAAAGAACTAGATTTTTCCGAAGTTGTCCTTATAATTTTTTTTCACACAGTCAGAACTAATAAAACAAAACTGTTGTAGCTATTTAATTCAAAATCTCTTGGAGTTTCAATATTTTTTCTCTGCTGGATACTAAAACCAATAAAGCTACATGAGATTTTAATTATATTCTGAATTAAACAAGGCTCTCTCCAAAAATTTGGCACCATTTATTTTAGTCACTGCTATTATAAAAGAAACCAACCTTTGTGGGAAGAGAAGGTGGGTTTATCTAGTAAGAACTTAGGTAACTCTTTTTTGCAACTTATTTTGTTTTTAACATATTTATTAAATGAATTAAGAGAAATAAACTTTACAAATAGGCAAATGCAACTTATTTTCAATAATTACACATAGAGGTAAAACTTCAAATTAGCTACAGCTTGAAAGCATCAATGGATTTTATGATAGCAATTTGGTCCTTTTTTTAAGTTTATTTATTTATTTATTTTAAGGGGGGGGGGGTGCGCAGCAAGAGAGGAAGAGAGAGAATCCCAAGCAGCTTCCCTGCTATCAGCCTGGAACCCAATCATGGGGCTCGATCCCATGAACAATGAGATGATGACCTGAGCCAAAATTAAGAGTCAGATGCCTAACTGAGCCACCTAGCCGCCCCACAATTTGGTTCTATTTTTACTTATACTAAAAGTTTTATTACCTTCAAGTGTTGGGATAACTAAATCATTTATTAAATCACATATCAAATCATTGTTATTATTACATTTAATTAAAACTTGACAAAACCTAATTACTTAGTGTTTTAGGGCTTTACTGACTTGCAAAATGCTAATATGATTAGATACAACTGTCTCATCTGTGTCATGGATGGGACCAGAACT